ATTTTTTTTTTCCTTAATGAACACATAATTTGATGATCGTTAACAATGTATAATTTGTTTATTTATTTGTTTTTTCCTTGTATATTGTAAGTTTTGTGAATATCCAATGTTCATATATATACACACATTCCCGCAGAGTCTCAAACAGTGCTGTTGATACTGTTGGTTACTGCTATTGCTCCATATTTTTGGGTATATTGCTGTTAGCTGTTTGGCTAATAGCTTAGAGGGGAAAAGAAGACACACAAAAAAACAACAGATTTTCTAGTGAAAAAAGAATAAGATTGGCCTAATTAGATTAGATAATTAATTAGATGACTAATTAATCTAGCATTAATTTTTTTTTTCAACAATTGTTCGGATATTTGATAGAATAATTTAGATATATATATATATATATATAAGTACCAAAGTTTTAATGCTTTTTTATCTTTTTTTTTTTGCTGTTTCACCACCTTTTATATTATTTGTCACTCTTCAGCACTGATCATTTTGATATCACAGAAAAAAAAAAAAAAGAAAAAAATTATTGAACTTTAAGTTTTGTGCTTTTTTGTTTTTTTTTTTTTATTTTACTGATGTTACAAATGTTATCATCATTAATGTTTTATAATCAATATTATTTACTATTTCTATTATAATTATATATTTCTTTTTTTTTCTTCAAATTAATTTATTTTGTTTTATTATTTGTTTGTTTTCTAATTCTTTTTTTTCCAGTTTTTTTTTTTTGATAGACTTTTAATAAGAATTGATTTGGTTTGGCAGTTATCAGTGTCATCAATTATGGCATTGGAATATATATGACAAAACAGATTTGGTTAATGCTGCAGAAAATAACAGAATATTCTATAAGGGTTATTGATTTTAAAGCGATATATAAAACGAGTTAAAAGTATTGTGTTGGAAGAAAAGAAAAAAGCGTAATAAAGTGATGTGAAATTATAAAATTTTAATTTATTACTTTTTTTTTCCACATTTTAGTTTCTTTTTTTTGCGTATTTTTTTTTTATTGCATTTATTTTGTTGTATATTTTCAAATGTTTTAGTGCTTAGGTATTTATTCGAATAGTTTTGCTATTCATTCATTTATTTAGCCCGGTCTTTTGCTTGGTTTTTTTTTTTTTTTGTCTTGCTCTTATTTTGTTTGTAGAAATGTTGTGTAGAAAAATTGATGGCTAATATAACTGTAAAATAATGTTATCTCTGTTTTGTTTGCAATCTACAGAAACAGGAAACTTAAACAACGATGCATGAGATTTTGTTTTCAACAGAAGAAGTCTGAGCTGAAATTATTTCATTCACTGATTTAGTGGTGGGGAAAGGGAGGGTGGTGAACAGCGCAGGAGAAGGAACTTTGCAAAAAAATGATGATCAAACAAATGGCAATGGAGGAGAGATTTGGAAAAAAAAGGGATTTGATGCTAAAATTACTGCGTTACTCACTTAAAATTTCTTTATTTTAATAATTTTATTCAAGTTTTCCCCTTTTTTTTTCTTTATTCTCTTCTTTCTATCCATCTTT